TTTTTTTTTTTTTTTTTTGACAGGCAGAGTGGACAGTGAGAGAGAGAGACAGAGAGAAAGGTCTTCCTTTGCCGTTGGTTCACCCTCCAATGGCCGCCGCGGCCAGCGCGCTGCGGCCGGCGCACCGCGCTGATCCAATGGCAGGAGCCAGGAGCCAGGTGCTTTTCCTGGTCTCCCATGGGGTGCAGGGCCCAAGCACCTGGGCCATCCTCCACTGCACTCCCTGGCCACAGCAGAGAGCTGGCCTGGAAGAGGGGCAACCGGGACAGAATCCGGCGCCCCAACCAGGACTAGAACCCAGTGTGCCGGTGCCGTGGTTTTCTACTTTCTAGTCATAGATGTTGATTTCGCCTTTATAATTTCACTTTTAGAACAGAGGCCTGCTAGCGATTGGGCACTATGTGTTTGTGATGATATTATAACAATATATTTGTTTAATGAGAAATTAGCTAAATCCTTCCCACCTACAATGCTAACATTATTTTTAACGATTCAGGAAAAAACCTAAACCCTTGATCATTCCTTTGTTCTTATTGAATATTTTCTTCCTAAAGAATGCTTTAAATCAGCTTAAAATATGAATGTATAAAAATGGTGACATTCAGATTCTGTCCCGGTTGCCCCTCTTCCAGGCCAGCTCTCTGCTGTGGCCAGGGAGTGCAGTGGAGGATAGCCCAGGTGCTTGGGCCCTGCACCCCATGGGAGACCAGGAAAAGCACCTGGCTCCTGGCTCCTGCCATTGGATCAGCGCGGTGCGCCGGCCGCAGCGCGCTGGCCGCGGCGGCCATTGGAGGGTGAACCAACGGCAAAGGAAGACCTTTCTCTCTGTCTCTCTCTCTCACTGTCCACTCTGCCTGTCAAAAAAAAAAAAAAAAAATGGTGACATTGCTGGCACCGTGGCTCATTTGGCTAATCCTCCACCTGCAGCGCCGGCACCCCAGGTTCTAGTCCCGGTTGGGGTGCCAGAATCTGTCCCAGTTGCTCCTCTTCCAGTCCAGCTCTCTGCTGTGGCCTGGGAAGGCAGTGGAGGATGGCCCAAGTGCTTGGGCCCTGCACCCGCATGGGAGACCAGGAGGAAGCACCTGGCTCCTGGCTTCAGACTGGCACAGTGCGCCGGCTGTAGCGGCCATTTTGGGGGTGAACCAACAGAAGGAAGACCTTTCTCTCTCTCTCTCTCTATGTCTAACTCTGCCTGTCAAAAAAATTTTTTTTTAAAAATGGTGACATCATGGCTTGGCAGGGCAAGGTGGTATCCCTGATTGACAGCACATGAGCCAGGCTTGGGCTCAGGCTGTGCTTGCCCAAGAGTGGCTGAGGTCATTAGTAATGAAGGCACAGTTGGTATCACTGGAAGAAAACTTTAAAAAAACAGTGGTCTGGGGCTGGTGCTATGGTGTTGTAGTCTAAGCCTCCACCTGTGGCGCTGGCGTGTCCCAGCTGCTCCTCTTCCCATCCAGCTCTCTACTTAGGGCCTGGGAAAGTAGTGCCATTTGGGGAGTGAAACGGATGGAAGATGTCTCTCTCTGTATCTCCCTCTCTGTAACTCTGCCTCTCAAATATACAAATAAATCTTTAAAACAAAAAACAAAACCAGTAGCCTGAACACTGCTTTTTGACTACTCTGGATTGGTTAACGCCAACCATTGTTTATCCCACCCTGGGACTGGGGTCCAGTGGCCTATCTGCCTCCAGCCTACTGGGCGGTGCTGGCTTGGTCTTTGTACAGTAAGGCTCAGGGTCGCCATTCCCAATGGGGTGCAGGTGTCCTCACCTCCACCCAGCTGTACAGGCGTTCCTGGGTGTGCCGGTCATCCTTGAAGCCGGTGATGGCCAGCAAGTCCACCACAAACTGCTTGGGGCTGATGTGCAGGGTCTGCCAGAAGGGCCCCCAGTCAGGCAGTGCTGGCGGCACCTCCCAGCCTCGCAGAGGGAGATGTGAGCAGGGACTCTGTGGGGCCTGCAGGGGTCAGGGACGGGAACTCCAAATCTGCCTCTTGCTCCATGCTCAGTCCAGATGACACTGCCCTTCCTGCCACCCTTCTGCCCCGACCTCTTCCCCTTGACCCCCTTTCTCTGTTTTTTTGCTTCCTCTCATCTTGTACCACATACTGCAGGGCAAGGGGACAGATGGGGAAGGTATGGGGTGCCCCTGGGCTTGGGGCCTGTCATACATACCCACAGCCGGTTGGCCAGGGAGACCACCTTGGCTGTGATGGATTTGGGGTCCTTCTGCCTGATGGAATCCAGGATGATGTCAGTCAGGAAGCGGTGACACTTTTGTGCATAAAACATCTCTTCCCAGGACAGAGAGAAACTCAGAAAAGTCACTTCTGTGGAGGACAGAGGGTGGATATGGCCACATCTGCCCAGAGCTAGGGCCTTAGAGACAGCCTGGAGGAGGGGAAAGGTGTGGGACTCCCAAGGGACCCATGCTCCCTGAAGTGGCCTGGATAGGGTTCAGGCATCTGCACGAGGAAGTGCAGGCCCAGGCCTGGCTGCAGCACTCACCTCGGGGCTGCGGGAAGGCTGTGGGGGACATGTTTCGGAGGTTGTCCATCTGTGTGGTGTAGATGATGCTATCCTCAAAGAACATGCAGGAGCCGTCACTGCCCACCACTGGGGGGTGAGTCACTTTGAGGATGATCCCTGGGCTGTCCACTTCAGTAGCCTCAGGCAGAGGCTGCTCAAGGGCAGGGCTTTCTGTGACAGCATGTGAGGAGGGACCTCTGGTGAGCACACACCTGTATACACAGTCACCCCACTTTCCAGCTGCTGTGGCTAGTTTTTCACAAGTGGCCTCTCCTCCCTTCACTGCCCCAGTGAAACCCAAACCCTGAATTTTGGAACTCTGAAGAACTCTCCAACCCCCACTGTTGAACTAAAACTGGTACCAAGCAGGGGCTCAGGCATCTGTGCAAGGAAGTGAAGAGCCCAGCTGGGGGCTGGAAATCTATAAAGCAAATTTATAAAATCTATAAACAAAATTGTAAAGCAAATCAGTGATTGGGGGGCAATCACTGATGCCCGTGGGCTCAGAGCAGATGTTTGTCACCCCGAAGCTTCACAGACCAACCTGAGGCTCCTAGAGTTCACGAAGGCCCCTGAGGCAGGGCCTGAGCCTCTCAAAGGGAAGGTGACAGAATACTGGAGGAGGAACTTTGGGGGAGCAGAGGAAACAGCCTGGCTGGGGTTCTCAGCAGCTTCCCCAGACCACCACTGCCCCAGGCCATACGCATTCTCTCAGCCCAGTTCCCAGGGACCCCTTATCTTTTAGGCTCTTGCTCCTGGGTGTCTCAGCATCTCGCTATGTGTGCTCTTCCTTGAGTTCTACTCTGTCTGCCCACCTCAGTAAGGGCACATCCCACCGCCCCTTGAAACCATCTGAGCTAGAAACCTGGCCCCTCCCTGGCCTGATCTCCCACCCCACCCCCTACCCCCACCTCCCCATCCCCCCACTGCCTCACCTTTCTCTGAGCCTAGAATGGACTCCAGGCTTTGAGCACCCCCTCCTGCTGCTGCATTTCCTGCACTCCCAGAGCAAGCTTTCTGTAATGCTCACGTGACCATATGACCACTTGTTTAAAATCTGTCTACTCCACTTAGGGTGGGAACAGGGCACTGCATTCCGAGCTGAATCCCGAAGACCTGTCCTGGATGAGTCCTGTCTTCAGCCTCGGCTCCTATCACACCTGCACGTGAAGCCTGGCCTCCAGCTAGCCATGCCCTGTGCTCCACAAACACCTGGGCTTGTCCTTTCTGCTCCTGCTGACACCACAGCCTTCTGCCTCCTTTGTACTCCTACTTCCCAGGCTCCCTCAAGCCGGGCCATGGTGCCAGTCATTGTGGTCTGCTGCCTGGCTCAGAGCAGGTCTTGATGGGTGGGGGGCTTTAGTCTCCTTTTTTCCCTAACTCTGTGGTGTTGGCCAAGGGGTTTGCCTTCTCTGCTGTACACAGACTTAGGTTGAGGATGGCAGGGACTTACCTCTCTCCTTTGGCCTGTGCTTGCCCCAGTCCTTCAGAGTGACAGCTCTTTTCACAGGGAAGTATGGCTTAAAGGTTGGCTCTGGTCCCTTGTCTTTCACGCCCGCTCCAGCCCCCGCCTGTGGGCCTGGATCCTTCTCTGAGGCTGTGCAATGGGCTTTCCAGGCAGCAGAGGTGCTGGGTTGGGAAGCAGCCTCACTTGCCAAGGGGAGCTGTGGGGCGGCCTCCTCCAAGGAGCTGCCCCG